AGCCACTCTGAGCTCCAGTTTAGCAGTTTGTCAAGTGTTTTCCAAAAGGAATACTTTACATTATCGACGAGAGAAAGCATAACGCAAAGAGGTGTTTCCAGTGTCATAGCGCAAATTAATTCTTTAGCCAATCAAAAGCCCCTTTCTTCTGTGGGCCCTGGGGCTTCAGCCCCACCTAGCCCTTATGTTAATCCGGGCTTGCATGTGATCAGATGAATTCAAAACAATCATATTCCAGGCATAAATAGATATTTAGAGTACATTGGCATCTAAATGCATAGCTTTTAACATCCTCTATAGATGCAGACTGTGAATGTCAGATCAGTCTTAATCAAACATTTGGATATTTGCCATTTACTGAAGGTCTTTACCTTAAGAGTGCCTTGTTCTGTTCTCTGAGTTTGTAAACCACTTGCTAATGCTATGCATTGTTGTTGAACTATTATCGTACAAAATGGTCTTCGCCAGTTTTCACATTTGGTGATTGTTTTGGTCTTAACCCTTTGAAGGGTCTTTAATATTGCATTATGTGGCTGAGATCCACAATGCATTTGTATTATGAACACGAGTGTCACAGTAAGCACTAGCAGCAGCTGTTTACCTCTGTATCTAGGTAACCATTGAGGACAACATTCCAAAAATGGAAAGTGCTGTTGGTTCATTTTTTTCACTTGTGTTTTTGTAAGCGACACTAAATCTTAACATGTACTGCAAAAGCAATTTCTTCAGACATGGCCAGCAGTGAAAAATGCATTATACTGTAATGGGCTTCCACATAATAAAGCAGATTACTTTTATGGAATTTGCCAACTGTACTGGAGTTCACATTAAATCCCATTTTGAAGGTTTGGTGCACAGGCGCATTTAGGAAATGAATGTCTCATCCCTCTCTGCCTGTCGCTCTGTTCTTGAAATGGGATGTTTAATGTCTTTATAAAGGCTATATAGTCAGGCACATACCAATTCATTCTTTATCATTACTGTATTAAGCATTTTACAATCTAAGAAATGTTTTAAAACCTAGAAATGTGGAAAGGTTTAGCGCTATGCTAACCATCTCCCAGCCCCCGCAATATAACAAATGCTAAAAAACCTGGCCACAAACAAACAATTGTGTATACTGTTTTCCAAGTTACAAATAATCTGACAGATCACTTTAAGGAGAGTAAACTTAAAAGTTGTTTGCAGGTGATACATAACCAACACAAATCTTTAAGTATCTATAAATCCAAATATACATTAAAAATACATTCATTGAATGTATTAAATTAAATGGTCTTTTTTGACCCCCAATTAAGAACCATAGGGTTAAAATCCATCATTAATAAATTTGCAGCAAATCAGCATATTTGTGAAGGATTTCTGTATAGGCTAATAATGCTTTAAGTTCAGATGTGCCAGACAGAAATAATATGCATTTTTCAATATAATAAAATGGAAAAGTCATTTTAATAGTGTTGAGATTTTAATACAATTAAAAACTTTGTATTTTGATTAAATGAATGCAGCCTAAAGAGAGCCTTAAAGAAACGCTACACCTTTTTTTTTTTTTTTTTTTTTTTTTTTACAAAGCACCCAGAGCTAAACAGTTGAGTTTTAATCCATTCAGCCCATTTTGGATTTGGCTGGAGCACATCTGTTAGGAGCACAAATTATTGAATCTGATTAGATCATTAGCATACTGCTGGAATTAAAAAAATATATTTCTTATTTAAAGCTTGACCTTTTTTGTAGTTACGTCATGTACTATATGAGGCAGTGTTTCCCACAGGTTTGAAATATACTTGTGGAGGTAGCTGGATTAAAACTGAGCTTTACCCATGGCACATGGTTGCCTTCATGCAACAAAACAAGTTATTTTTAACAACATTTTTATTAATTATGACACTGTTACACACTGTTTCTTGTCAATAGGTTGAAGTAAAAAAAAAAGTAATCCACTATTTGTCCTTTTTAATTTATTCAGGAGCCATGTGCACCCACTGACAGGTCAAATCTACTGCTGCCATGCAACTGAGAAATATATGACTAAGGAATAAAAACAGACCGTATCTCTAAAAAGTATAATAATTACAAGAATAAAAGATTTTTTAAATAATGCAAATCAGTTAATGAACCGGTTAATTAACCAACGGTGTACAAATAATTGGCAGCAAGTTTAAATGTAATATCATCCTCGATGGGCTTATCGAAAAGTTTATCTGAGTCGTTTAGTATAAAGAGTGAATTATTTGATGTTTCTCTCGCACTTGCAGCTGTGCACTTGTTGTCAGCTGCGAAGCCAAGAGAAAGTAAATCAGGCTTTAAATAAAAACATAATGCAAAAACGAATACAATCAACGAAGACTTTAGAAAGCAAAACCAAAAGCTGATTCACGGACATTTTAGGAAATTTAAAAACCCTGGATAAATGTACAAATCCCAAAAAAGGAGCATCTCTGCAGAGTACGTGAGATTGTCTGTAGAAGTCTTAACCGTTCTCGCACGTACACAACGAGATGTAGGAAACGTGTAGGATGAAAAAAGATTTTTCCACTGGTTAATCAATCGTGTATGTTTGACTATGTTTGAACTTTGCTGCTGTACCAGGTGCAATGATATTAGTCTGAACTATTACCTAGCAGGGGAATATTTTCAGATTTAACTTCGAGTAAAATGCTAAGGGTGTAATCAGATTCAATCAGTAATGCTAAGCTAAAAGTGCTCCCACCAGACCCTGAGATCGGCTGAATGGATGTAAAAATGGTTATACTCGACTGATTAACTCGCTTGGCTAGTAAAATTTCCAAAAAAAGGTGGAGTGTTGCTTCAGGCAAGCATAAGATACTTCCTTTAAAAAGATACAAAAATGATTTCAAACTTTGCATATCAGTATTTTCTAAGCATATCTTACAATACATTTTGCTCCTCTCTACAGAGCCCTCTAGTACACAGTCAGAGGTCGTAGAAAATGGGGTTGACAGATCTACTTCAGAAGATTCACCCGACCCTTCCCACAACAAGGCAACCGGCAGTGAATCGGACCCTAAAGAGCAGCAAGCGGAGGAGGAGGAGGAGGAAGAGGAGAGCGCAGAGGCTCAGGAAACAGAGGAGACAAATGACCCAGTCAGCAGTAGCAGCAATAACAGCAGTGACGAGGGAGTGTCCAGTGCAGAGACTCCATCCGCATCTCCCAGCAGTTCCACAGAGCTGCCAGCAGAGGGCAGTGTCACCGCAGAAATCACTTCAGACAGCTCAGAGACTGCAGACGACAACATGGAGCAAGACTGAAGTGTGGCCACACGCTGTTGATTTTTACACTCTACTGTACAAACCCCCCCACAAATCACTTATCCTGCAAATTTAGCAGATCCTTTATAGACCAGGAGAAGAGGGCATTTTGGTGACGCCCCTAAAGAGCTCTCGAGACACATCTCCTCCTTTTGAGCCTCCTTTGGGCTTTCTGTTAATATGGGTTCTTCTCTGAAGAACCACTTGAAAAACTGGAAGCTCACTTTTCTGATGGCTTAGCAGAGCGTTTGCCATTGAATAACACAAGTCCTTGTGTCCATGGCGGTTTTCTGTAATCCTACTCTAATCATGGGTGTCCATCAAAATCATGTCTCTCGCCTGCTTTTCTAGGCGTGAAAACGTGGCACATCTTTGGTTTGTGTGAACATACGTTTGAAGGGTAAGGGGCGTATGTGCACTTCCTTTTAGTTTTGTCCAGTCAACAAATGATCTCAGGATTCCCGTTGAATGGCAGACCGGTGTCTAAACATTCCAGGAGAACACCCACTTTTGCCCTTATTGCCTTCTGCATTCATCTGGTGGATTGTAGCACAAAGTGCTCAATAGCAAAATTTAGACCGATTTCCTTTCTTTGCTAATTGTTTCTCTTTTATTTTTAGCTCCTTTGATTTTAACTGCCTTCCCAGCATAGCACCGAAATGTATTAATCCACTGATGCTGGTAAATAGATTCTAAAATGGACTAATGTGATTTTCCATGCACTAGATACTTGAGTGCTGTTGGTTGCAATGTGTAACTTAATATAGTGAGCCTGTTTTTTCAACCGACATAATGTGCTTAACCACTATTGAGCCATTCTTATTTGTTATGAGCTTTTTCATTTTCTTTCATAAAACGACGGCAAACAGTTGTATACAATTGAAATGAACAACACTGTCAACAGCAACATCTCTTAAACTGTACTTTTCATGCTTCCTACAGACATGTGTAGAGGCTGTCCCACCCATACCTATTTCCACAGCTCCTTTTTGATATGTAGAATTTTTAAATTAGATTTTTGTAGATTATTATAAGTGTTCACTGCTTTTGTGAAAAAGTGAAATTGTATGATCTCCATGTGAACTGAATGCTTGGGCTTTCAACAGTATTTCTGAAGAGCAATAAATGTTCACATTAAAAGCGGTGATATGATTAATCTGTGGCAACTGGAGACAGTTCTAATCATTCGTCTCATTTAAGGTCATGGACACAGTTCGTTTGCATCACAAAATTTGCTAGTGAAGCCTAAAACTGATGGACATCACATATAATGCTGTTCACAACAGACGCGGAATGCATGAATAAATTGTGCAATTCATGTGTAAATGGACGTGAACATTTTGAGTTTACTCACTTCATTCACGTGTCAAGTGGGCAGGAGCTGGTATAAGTTTCTGATAACCTTGGATAAAAATATCACGATTACACGGCATCCCAGTATTGTCTAAAATATATTCTTTTTAAATGTCTGGGTAAAAAATAACACATTTTCCCCCCTTTGAAAACAATATATTCTATCTTTTGAAAGATTTAAAACATTTGAGCAGTAAACATGTCAGGCTAAATAATGAAAATGAATCATCGACTTCTGCTGTCTTCATTATTTTCAACAACACAGATTTCTTTACAATTTAAAATGGCATCTTTGGATGTCTTTTCTGCTGGAGATACTGTTTTCCTAAAAAACAACAACAAAAAAGTCAATATAACAATCTTACAAACACCTTGGAAATGGTATAGAAGAAAATTTAGGTGGTTTTAAAACCTTGACTTTTCCAAACTGTGGTATACCCATGCCTAGAGTCAAATTCTCCTCACAGTATATGCGGATTTGCGTCATGGGTGGGGCTTCTATCTGCCGACTGACTCTAGCTTCATTGCTAATTTGCTAACATGGATTTCATTTAGAGAATAGCTGTGTTAATGTGCTTTAGGAAGGCTAAAAACAACGTATATATTCGTTCGGCGCAGTGTCTGAATCCACTAGATTCTTTCAGAGATGCAACCAGCTCTGAGTTCATCAACTCCTACAGAAACTGTACCTGGATGATGGAGGCTTTCAGCTGTGCTTCCGGCTGAGCCCAGTTTGATAAACTGTTGTCCGGTGTCATCATAACATGCATCATAATCATGCCCCAACAAGAGAAACCTTCTGTTTGGTTAATGTGGTGCGAAGGTCCGCTGATGTTCAGATTGTCCAACGCAAGCGAAACGTGCTATATGCTCGAAACACTCAACTCCAGCCTCTTGATTCACGTAAATGGCGCATCACGCTGCAGGATGTCTACTCGCGTCTTTGCATTGACTTACCAAAGTAAATCACTTGCACTTGATGCTTCACCTGCGTCCGGTGTGAACGAAGCATGAGAGGGTGATGTGCAAGCATTTGGAAATAACTGAAAATAAGAGCATACTGTAAAAAAGGTTTGGCATGAGGTATTGCATAAACTAAGATTAGTTGCCCAATGTGAGATGTGGGTACAAAAAGTAATTTTGGTGCAGCTGCAAGTATTAAGATATGAAATAGATACTTAGAATTAATCACTGTTGTACTCGAACTGCTGTCACACAAATCAAGGTTTTTAAGTACCTAAACAACCCCTTAAATGAGGCAAGTCTTCCCACACCAGTCTGCACACAATTTTACACAGTAAACTAGTAAAGTGCCCTGAACCGTTGCGTAATCCACAGGTGTCAAACTCTGTTCCTGGAGGGCCACAGCTCTGCTTAATTTAGTTTTAATCCCAATTAAACACACCTGATCAAACTAATTGAGCCCTTCAGGCTTGTTTGTAACCTACAGGTAAGTGAGTTGGAAGTAAACTGCAGGGCTGCGGCCCCTCCAGGAACTCCAGGAACCCCTGGTGTAATCCCTTACACTGTTGTCACAGAGAGAAAGGAATTATATAGCTTAGTCCCGTCTGTGGACTTTGTTCCATGTGTCAGCAGCTCCTGAATGGTCATCCAGTTGTCAAATATCCTCTTATTCCTCCTCTTCATCATCTTTTTACGGCTAAGCTGGATGATGTCAGGCTCTTTGTTGTTCAGTGTTCCTGTTTTTCCCTTGTTCTCCATGTAGCACTGCTTTATGAGTTCCCGTTGTTGCTGCTGTTCCTTGGCTTGCACAGCATGCTGCTTGCGTTCCTTCTTGTTCCAATATCTACCCAGTTTTAGTTCGCTTCCCGCATCATCATCTGTTGTTATGCTGCAGCGCTCTTCTCGAATACGCAAAGCACGCTCCTTTAGCAGCTGGTCTCTAATGGGTCTTCTTGTAACGTACCTTGTTCCATCATTACAGACCTTTACCTTCCACCCCATCTTGAGCCTGGAATCAGTTGTAGTGTTTTCTGGATTCTTGCAAAGGCTGGCTATGCTGACTTGACTGTGGGCGTATTCCACAGCTGACTTTTGCTGAATGAGTTGCATGTAGCTTTGGTAATGTTGTGCATGGGCTGGGATGTAGGTGTTCTTGTATGAGGAATGATGTAAAGACCTTGGGTTCTTCCTCTTACTCTGCTTTCGTTTACCCTGATTTGTTACCTCTGGATCTCCGGCTAAACTCTTGGTGGGGCTGATCTCCCGAATAGGAGAGAGGTTATGTTTTGAACATGCTGTCGTTGAGTTGCGTCTAATCATGGGTGAACCTTTACCCTTGTCTGCAATTAGCATCCTTTGGGATTCAGGAGAATGTGACTCCAGAGCAGGCTGTAAGCTCCAACAGCTCTCTCCAGTGTTATAAGCACTAGTAGAGCATTCGTTGTCCACCTTGTTATTTAAGAGGTCCTGGTGAACTTTATCATTTAGTTGTTCAATGAAGTGCTTTGTGCTGGGATCTGTGGTTTGCGGACCACTATCTTCAGCCTGAAGCCTGTGCGCTTGTATTATACTCAGACATTCCAGCTCAATGTTCAACAGCTGCTTATTAAGCATCTGATCCTCTTGATCATCACAGTTTGTAGTAATCCTCTTTCCATATTGTGTAGCATCGTGCTCCAGTAGACCTTGAAGATTGTTGCTGTTCATCAGACATTTCAATTCAAGCAGTTTCCGGAAACGTTCGCATGCAGTGCCAGGTATGCCAATGAAGTTTCCATTGTCTCCATTGTCAACTGACAGGAAGGATTCATTGCTTAAGTTCATGTCCCCACATTCCAGTGTGCCCTGGCTATAGCTAAACTTCTTGTGGTTTTCTGGAAGGGTGTCACAAAGAGAATTCTGGTCATCCCCTAAGATGTCCTGCTCAGAGCTTTCATCATTACGAGTGCTTTCATCAGTGCGGCCTACACCACTGTCTTTCTCATGATGGTTGGACAGTAAGGTTGCCGTATCAGTAGTGCCTCCATCTTCTTCACGTGTGCTCTGTTAAAGTGAGAGGAAAAATCTTTTAATGGCACCTTTATTTGGAAAACAATTACCTGTTGACTTGACCATTATTATCGTACCTGCTGCAGCATACTTGTATCAAACTCTTTGACCTTGTCATTCAGTTGCTCAAGAATGCCCAGTTTCAAGTCCTCTTCCAACCAGCAAACGTCCTATGAGCCAAATTGCAATGCAACGTTATACAGTGCTTTTATAATCAGGGATCTCCAGATCTTTCTCCAGAGTTTTAAGTGAATTCCATTTCTCTGTTTTGCATGTGAAGGGGTAGGGTATTCTAATATTTTTTGTTAGGAGGGAGAAGGGCTTCATAGCTCTTCAAACAAATATTTATTATACCTCACACAAAGTACTATGTCAAACAAAATGTAGTAGATTGGTAAACATTTGAAGTGAATCAAAAACATTTAAAGTGAATTCATCAACAATGTTTTAAAACTACGGAACAACACCCATTCTTTTAGGACAATTTTTTAAAACAGTTTTGATCTACTTCTAATGTTAACCACTTTAGTAATGTAGTAAACTTTTTTTAAACAAAATCCCTAGAGGGCTGCTTACCTGCACAGTTTAGTGACAACCCTATTTCAACACACTTAAGCTGTGGTCACACAGGAATTTTCTCCCCATAGACTTCCATTCAAACGCACGAGAATACATCAGACCTGAAAGGCCAGGTTGTGTGGCTAGTTTCGCAATTCGATAAGTTGCAAAGTTAAAGCTTGGTGAACTCTGATCTGCGAAAACGTTTCACTTGACTGTGTGAGACCAATCGAGCATCAAAATATGGCCTCTCTGTACAGAAATTTTAAATATGGAGCAATCACTTGCTTTTTTTTAATGTCTAATCATCTTGTTTAATCCCACCCCTTTCCACAACACCGAATGACAGAATTTTACAAGCTCAAACTCTGATGTGACATCAGCTTTACTTGTAGGTTTTAAACAAGTTTAATGCACCAAATTAGTTTGACCTGGTGTGTTTACTTAAGGTTGGAACTAAACTGTGCAGAGCTGCGGCCCTACAGGAACTAAATTTGAAACCAGTGGTCTAAGGTAGATGTGTCCAAACTAATTAATTAGCTGATTCAGGTGTGTTTAATTGGGGTTAGAACTAAAATATGCAAGACACTGGCCCTCCAAGACTGGGTTTGGACATGCCTGGTCTAAGTGAAGGAATAAAAATAAGGGATCCAGGTTCAGGTGTATTTAAATTGGTTTGGAGCTTAACATTGTTAAAAGGTGATCAAACAGAAGCAGGATTAGAAACCCCTGACATAAAACAAATGATTCTTACTAAAATGTTTTCTGTAAAATCACAGAATCAGTAACAGACCTGTCTTTCTGGTCGAGCTACTAGGATGGCCACATTCTTGCTGTCCTCCTTGGTCAGAAGTGCCACTGCCACCTCATGGCTCTGAACCTCTTCTCCATTGATCTTCAACAAGAAGAATAAAATCATTTAGTTTTGTTACAGTATACATTTTGTCCAAAGATTCCAAAAAGGCAAAGGTATGAATCCTACCTGGATGATCTGGTCTCCTTCTTGGATTCTACCATCCTTTGCTGCGACTCCTTCTGGATCAATCTAAGGACAGTGAATTTAATCTTAAGAGTTAAGCCTGGACCAGACTGGAATATTAAAGTTGATACAAAATGTACTGCTTTATAACCCTACCTTGCTAACATAAATGGTTGTCTTCTCATCATCCATCTTGTAACACAACATCAGGCCAAACTTATCCTGGATGTTTTTCCTCTGAAGATCCACCTCCTATTAAACAGATAATTGAACTGAATTAAAGAGGGTGAAAAAGATTAAGCATTTTACTCAGTGTCAACATGTAAGCCAAAGCCTTGAGAATTTGCAGTGCTCGCTGCAGCTCATAGAAGTTTAATCTGCATGATAAATTCATGTGTAATTAAAATGTACTTGGGGAAATGTTAGCAGGTATACGAAATTAAAAATAACCCCAGGAGATGTTGTTTAAATTAAACATGCATCGTTCAGTAGAGTGTGAAGATGTGTCTATACAAACACAATACCTCGTATTCCAGCCCTTTACTCTCAATGTCTTTCTCTACACCGTCATCAAAGTCTGGGGGGTAAGGTGAGTCGCATCTTGTTTTTTGACACCTTTGATACAACACAAATTAACACGTTAGGTTAAAAAAAATTTTTTTTGAACTTTTATGACACAGTAGAACAAATGTTTGAAAAATTCTGACTAGTACTTACTGCTTGGGTGAACAGAAACCGTTCAGAATAGCAATACTCGGTGGTGTTGTGGGTGATGGCAACTGGGCCATAGTCTCTATATGTTTCAAATATTGCAGTGTAATGTTGGTCTGAGTGCTGTTGTCCATTCCACAGACTGGTTTGAGAGGCTTGCAAGTCTTGTGCGTAACCCTGCGTAGTACCTCAACCTCAATGGGATCTTCGGTAGTTTGGAATGCCTCAACTGCTTGGTCATGGGTGGCGATGGAAAGGCTTCTTCCATTTATCTGCACAAAGAGAATAGAAAAGATATTTCAGTGACATGGTGGAATAGGTGTTTCAGAATAACGATGTACACTACCTGACAAAAGTCTTGTTACCTATCCCAAGTTTTAGGAACAACAAATAATAACTTGACTTGAAGTGGCTAATATGAAAGACAAAGGCGTCTAGATTGCGCTTATTATAACAAAATAAAATATGATCATGCCTTGATTATAAATTATTTAATTAGGAGAATGAGGTCTGACTTTGCTTAGACAAAAGTAGTCACTTAACATAAATAGTGTACAGTACAGCATGTTATGAATTTATATTGTGTATGACTCCCATGAGCTTGGAGGACTGCATCCATTCATCTCTGCAATGACTCATAAAAGAATTTGCCCTCTCCCTTGGTTTGTAATGTATTGGGCAGCACAAATGTCTGCCCATTACAGAACTGTAACTCTGCAGATCTCTCGCACACCCCCATACTGAATATAACCCCAAACCATGATTTTTCCTTCACCAAACCTGACTGATTTCTTTGAGAATCTTGAGTCAATGCTGGTTCCAATAGATCATCTGCAGTATTTGTGATGATTGTTATGCAGTCCAACAGATGGTTCATCGGAAAAATCTACCTTCTGTCACTTACAATAGTATTTTTGTTGTCTGTACTTGTACCTTATTCTTATAATAAGTCTTAAATTGATAATAGACACTTGGCTCTCATGGGACTTTTGTACTAATTCATACAAAGTGGTCACTGTCACCAAAGAAGCATGTCTAAACATTTTTAGTCATGACAGGTCAGTAGTTGGCGATGAAACCTTAGACACATATACAGTAGTCAACATTTGAATCAACTATTCATTGAATGGTCTGTTCCAAATGGAATATACATCACCTACCTAAGGTCACTTCAGTGAGAAAACAATTATAGCTGCCTTAATGAAGTGTCATTCCAAAAATAAATAAAACACTTTTAAGTGCCTTTTGGAATGAGGGATGCACCTGATGAACCCTTCAGGCCATGATCACACAGGGAAGTTTCACTGCGTTCAGTTTAGAAGTGCACATGTCTAGGTTCTGTTCCCTTCAGTGGGACCCTCCAAAGAGATTAGGGCATAGGGATGAGCCCTTCTGATTGAAACCCATTGGAAGTTGTACTTGAAAAAATTGAACAAGACTCATTCTGGTCTCATTACGATTTTGAAAACCCTTTTTTTCTATCTCCTTGCATATCTTAATGCACAATTTGATTTGATGACTATATCCAATATTTCTTGTAACGGCTTGCATCATCTTTAAAAAGTGACCAATATCTGGTATTGTAGCATATGCAATTACACTACAAACTTAAAAAAAAAAAAAAAAAAAAGAAATAACCCAATTTGCACTAGATACAATCAAAATGATATTTCAAGCATTTGCTTTCTGTACCACCTGTAAAGGTCTCCTAGGAGGAGTCTTGTCCTCCATTGTGCCATTAAAAAGAGTTGTGGTTGATGCTGTGCTATCTTTAAAGGTCAGCACAACATAAAACTTCAGCATGACTCCTCTGGGTTTAGCCCTCATCTTCCAAGAGTCATGTGAGTGCAGTCAGTATTCATTTGAGTTGACGTCATCATTAGAATCCATGTATTTAGTTTTTTCTCCAATGTTTGATGGTCATCTAATTTCTGCCATAAGTGGAATTGAGTCACTATAGTATAAATGTGACCTTTGTGAAGAAACAGTAGGTCTCTGTGCACATATGCATTCTTCAACAGTTCTGTAATCAACCATTGTTGTCCTGCTCTTTTAATCCTGTTTTCTAAAGCTTATTTTTAGGTCCCTGGAGTGTAAACGAGCATAACTTTTTTCTTTTTAGTTGCAAATGGTGTCATGTGAATGCACTTTTTAAAAAGGAAGCAACCCATTTTTTTAATCTTGCCTTTTTAAAGAAATGGACCAGCGCTTATGAGATAGATGACATTTTATTAGTGAATGACTCTAGTGGCTGTGAATTTAATGATCTTAAATCAGAAGTGATCAACCTTTTTCTTGGAGATTTCAGATCATACACACCTGCCTGTAATGGGCTGTTCAGGTCTTAAATAATTGGTTCAGGTGTGTTTGATCAAGGTTGGAGCCAAACTCTGCAGTAAGGTAAATCTCCAGCAACAGGGTTGAGTAGCAGTCTTAAACCAATAAATGGTCTGTTGTGGCAAAGAAGGAGGTGAGCCCACAGGCAAAAAGTTCATGACCATAGGTAAGAGAACGTAGATTGACCAATAAGTTTACCTATGTTCCAAAAGGAAAACACCTCAGATACAAGTGGACAAAATAAGTTTCCTTGGCAGGGTGCACCCTTATAGATAGGTTGAGGAGCTCTGTCACTTGGGAGGATTGGGAGTAGAGCTGCTGCTCCCCCACATAAAATGAAGCCAGTTGAGGTTGCTTGGGCATCTGTTTTGGATGCCTACCTAGGTAGGTGTTCCAGGGTTGACCCACCAGGAGGAGGAGCCAGGGAAGACCCCTGACATGCTAGAGGGACTATGGGGTCTTCTTTTATTATTTAGTCAAACAAACACATCTGAACCAGCTAGTCAAGCTCTTCCAAGGTATACTAGAAGCTTTCAGGGTGGTGTGTTTAAGGAAGTTGGAGCCCTCCAAAACTGAGTTTGGACACCCCTGGTCTAGGCGCAAAGTCTAAAGCGCATGGTAAAAGCATTAAGGGCGTGTCCGAATCCACTCCTTATGAGTTACGGGTGTGTTTTGAGTCTGTTTTGTGCCTCATCTCATCAAGAGTCAGTTGTGTCACGACATGGCACATTTGCTTTTTACATGGTGGACAAACTGAATGGAAAAACGCTTCACTAGCGAGAAAACAGTTAAACACAGGATGTGCAGTGTGAGGACAAAGAATGAGCCTCCTCCATTTGGCCTCTTTAATTTAACTTTTTACTTTATTCTTTTACTTTTGTGGAGAAAGGAAACAATGTTGTACGCAGTCCACTGAGGACATCCATTAGCCTAAATATTTAATTTCATTTGTTAAGCGCAAAGATTTGCTTCAAAACTATTTCTAAATTCAGTTCTAGTTTCCAGCAAATGAATAAATGAACAATAATAATGAAGTGTGGTCAAAAAACTATATATATATATATATATATATATATATATATATATATATATATATATATATATATATATATATATATATACACACAACTATTTATATATATGATGCATATGTCCCCAATACCAGACAGGTGGACAAATCTAAACAGGTTTTTATTAAAACAAATATGAATATGCATATAATAGATAATACTACTAATAATAACATAATAATAAAAATGCAAATTGTCATGAATAAATTGAAAAAAAACAAAAAAACAAACAAACATAAAGTTATGGAGGCAGTGGTTTTTATATTTATGTAGAAAATAATTTTGTAACATTTTAATCCTTTATTTTTTCATATGTAAAGATATTTGTGTGTTGCTGTGCATCCTGTTTGTAATAAGCATTTGGACCTGCATATGGACTCTTCTAATGCAGTATATTTCAGTTTCTCAGAATAGCAGCGCGCCAACAATAACCCTTAACACACCACCTTTACAGACCAGCACACCCATGAGTCCACAAAGTAGCGCAAATGGATTTGCTTTTTAAACAACATGGCACAAAACATGAAAATAAGGGTTGCACTGGTCTGACAATAGCAACCGATCACTGCAAACACATCTTCCACATTATTACGCTGGGTGTATGATAGGGCCCACTGTCTATTGGGCTGAAAAAACCTTGGGATTCCCCAGAGGAACAGGAGGAAGGGTCAGGAGAGAGGAAAGTTTGGGGCTCCAGGGTGAGACTGCAGCCCCCTCACCAGATAAGTGGTGGAAAATGAATGAACAGAGCTTAATTCACCCTTACCCTCATGTCGTTTCAATCCCATGAGATCTTAATTCATCTTCAGAATGCAAATTAAGATATTTTAGACTGAATCCAAGATTACATACAAAGCTCCAAGAGCAGTTTTGTGTGCCAAAAACTAAAAACAACGCCAATGTTTTTTTTTCCTCACCAGGTCCTCAAAGTTTGTGTTTACCACATGCAGTAGGAAGTATTGCCATTAGTTCAGTACAACACATAAGTGTTGTATTGTCCATAGTAAACATGCACTGTAAACTGACATGGAACAAAGTTGTTTTTCCAGGTTTTTGGCACACAAAAGTGTTCTTGAGGATTCATATGCTTACAGTTGAAGCACCGAAGGATTGTTTTGACAATGGTTTTAAATCCTTTTTTGGACTTTTAACATCTTATGACAATTGCTGTCAATGAAGAATAAGACAGCTCTTAGATTTTATTTAAAATTCGTGTTCCAAAAGTGCATGAAGGTCTCAGGGGTTTAGAATGAGGTTGAGCAATAGCTAACAAAATTTTCATTTTTAGCTGAACTAACCCTTTAAGCAAGGTCTGAGTTGGCATTCTGCAAGAACTTTGCTTCTTTAAGGTTCCCATGGTACTTTTCGACTGACTGACATGTATACTAACAAAAGGAAACCATTCTATAGACAGTATTTCTATAAAAAGAAATACACACTACTCTAGCAAATACACTACAGTTCAGAGAATACACCTAAATATCACTTTTAAGTCAATGTATGTTTTGTAGTTGTATGCATTGTCATTGCAACTCGACAATATATTAAACGTGAGTCCTGTTTGTGGCTGTACATTAACCTTAAACCCAGGAACGAGGTCAAAATCCAAAAACCTTCAGATTATGGAAGGGCATTTGACCCTCCAAGTAATGTAAAGCAGATGAGGCAAATTAAGCTCGAGCACTGTTTTTCACATACACAAAATAACTGGCTATTCAATCCTGTTAATGGACTCTATATTATTATAAAAAGTAGTATTTTGGAGAAAGTAAAAAATCATACAGACAGAATAAGAACAGTTAACCGGCAAGTTAATGATTTGCTAAGCAAGAATGAACAACTGCAGACAAATATTGTCATATGAA